AGTAGTAGTAGTAGTAGTAGTAGTAGTAGTAGTAGTAGTAGATGGTCCATCCCACGCAACCACCCCCAAACCCTGGCAAGTTACTTAGCAGCAACAAACGAGCCTACTGCTGTGGCTACCCCGCGCGCTCTGCCGCACCAGCACTCCTCAATCTTCTTCCCCCGAGTAACTGAATACTACGGGACGGAAGAAATCTGCATCCTCATACAGCCTGCTGCTGCTGTTTATCTACCATGATGATGACACGCGGGCGCGCATCTTATGATACATCATATTAGTATTATGTGGGTATTTATTTTGGGTAATTCAAGATAAGAAGATGTTGCCTGATCTTCTGACATGTTTTTGATCTTCTTTTTGTTTCAATTCATTTTGAGTAGCTTTCTCAGTAGTTGGTTGATCTTATTGTTGGGGTTTGGGGGATATATTTCAGTTAGTACCAGTAGTACATGGACTTGATTGTGGTTGCGCAACAGCTCTTTCGATGATCAACACTTACTACTACTTAGTAAAGTACTAGTACTTAGTGCCCTTTCTAATAGTGGCTACAAATGCCACATATACCGGACATATATATATATATATATATATTTACTATTAGTAGTACTGGAATTCCGAGGAGTTACCGCTTTGCTAGAGTAGTAATAGCAGCTAGTACTATTGGTCATATAGGAGCCTGTGAAGGAAGGGTCTCTTTTAGGCACGATGTCAATACTAATATCATTGCTTGAAGTGAAGACGTATATAACCTGTGCATTCTTGCAGTGATTGATTCAATAAACAATGGCTTCATCATTCGTTTGGTGTTTAGCTACTGGTGCTGAATTTGCTTTTGCGGGGCAGGGCTTTGTTTACTTTTCTGCGTAAGCGCATGGGACGCCTTGGTGCTTGTGCTTGTGCTTGTGCTTAGTAGGTCCCCTGCTTATCGTGGTAGTTAGTGAGGGGCTGCTTACTCCCCGGAGATACCTCTCGCGCGCTACTTGACAGATCAGGCGCGGCATCTGTCTCTTGTAGATTACGATATGAATTTTTGTGTTTATTGCAAGTAGGTATACATTCTACACGCTCAAATCGTTCTATAATGACATGGCATGTTCTTTCTTTCCTATCAATGATTTATTCTCTCCTCATGTACACCCCATCTAGAACTTGAAGACCTGCTCCTTAGAGTAGCCCAGCTCCTTCAGGATACCGGACAGCTCGCCCTGGTCCGTAGGGCTGTTCTTGGTGCCACTGATGGCCTTGTACAGGCCGGGGGGACCGCAGACGAAGAGCTTGATGTTCTCCTCCTTGGGCTCGGGGAGGACGGTCTTCAGGAGCTCCTTGCTGATGTAGCCCTTGCCGCCGGTCCACTCCTTGGGAGGGTTGTCCAGGACGTAGAAGGCACGGAAGCGGCGGGGGTAGGTGTTCTCGAGCTCCTCGAATTCCTTCTTCAGGAGGATGTCCTCCTCCTTGACGTTACCGAAGACCAGGGTGACCTTGGTCTGATCCTCGGGGTTCTTGAAGATCTCACGCGCAAGCTGGTACATGGGGGTGATACCGGTACCACCAGCGATCAGGCAGATGTGGTTGTGCTTGTTGGTCTCCCAGGGGTACTTGACGATGGGGCCCTTAAAGTCCAGGCGCTGGCCGACGTTCATACTGTGCAGGTGCTCGGACATGGGTCCGTTGGGGTAGACCTTGACGACAAGGTCGATGTAGCCGGGGGTTTCTGCGCCAAGTCAGTAAATGTCAAAAAGTGTTTGAGGCTGGTTTGTGAGAGCATACCCTCATCGCTGGTGGGGGTGTAAGGGCGGATGACAGCCTTGGCGTCGGCGGGCTTGAACTTGGTCAGGAGGGCAGCTGCGCGTTCATGAGTAGGAATTCCGGATGGTTATTTCAGAGCAAGACGACATACAGGCAACCTGGAGGCCGGAGACAGCTTCCTTGTCCTCGAACTCGAAGCGCAGGCGCTTGGTGTTGTGGTTCAGGACCTCAATCTCGGACAGCTTCAGGTCAAACCATCCTTGGTCACCACCCTTGAAGACCTTGGGGCGGTCGACAACAGCGGGGGCCTCAGCGGTGGCCGAGTTGTAGCGGTAGAGACCGACAGCGACACCGGTGATACCAACGGCGGCGTAGATGGGAGCCAGGGAAGACTTGCCCTTGGGCGCTTCCGTGGAGTACTTGCGGAAGCCCTGTGGTAAGCCGGAATTAGCACAAAATTCGGTCGTCGGTAGAGATCGGGAAGGGCGAAAAGGGTAGGAAAATGACAGCGCTCAGGTGAAGAGGGATGAAGCATACCTGCTTGAGGGGCTGAGCGCAGCGAAATGCTTGACGAGCGAACATTTTGAATGAATGACAGACACCAATGCGTGCTCAATGGGTGGTGAGAGGAAGAGGGAAGGTCAAGGGAGCAAGAGCGGAGGGAAGAGGACCTTCGGCAAAGGTAATTACTAGTCTCAAGCTCCTCCCTCTCGGACTCCGAGACGCCGTTTCCGCACATGACGCAATGGGGCCGCTCGCGTGCCTGGCGTTTTACTAATTACAAACTGACATTTGATGGACATCTCCATCTCTATGTAACTCTTGTCGATGGATAAAGAATTGAAAGTCCTCTATACTGGGGTTATATATCTGGCCTTGTGAACCGCACACTATTATAGAATTCTCTTGAAATAACCCCAGACAGCCTGATGGCCTGTCTTACTGGCCTTCCTTACAGAACATATACTACCTGCAATATGGCCGAGCGCCAGCGGATAAATTCATATCTGGAATCGAACCCAGTTTCTGTAGATACTTGACCGAATCCCTTCTTAGCTGTCTTTATTCTAGAAATAACAGCTTTGTACGCGAGAATAATTGCTGTGCTGTGTATGTACGCCAAATGCCTAGCGAGGATCTGTTGTCCACAAGCCGTCGTTCTACAGGCCAGATTGTCAAAGGTTTTTTGTTGAATGACTTGGCCCTAATCAAGTGAATAGACTAGACACAAGTAGTGCCACTAATACCTGGAGGATAACAAAGTCATTGAGGCAAGAAGCCATGATGTCAAGCGTGTTATATGTTTTCCCACTGCCACCCTCGACATCCGACGGATATACATGGCTAAACCCGAGGCAGCCAGAAACGCCACCGCGACTAGGCTCTGTCAACGTCCCACAAATATGCCCATAATATCGGAACAAAGAAATAACGTTCCGCATGCTAGCCTATATTTGCAGGTATTAGATAAACCCAACTGGCAAACAATCTGGGGAAGCATAAATAGATGATTGTTGCATATATAGGTATGTATCGAAAACCCCCAAATTGTGGGTTCCGGATGTAGATTATGGAAGAATTTCGATCCTCGTGGAACAATAGGACCAGCACTACGCAAAGCGTTATACGATGTCTACAGTACGCTATGCCCCGTCCAAGAATAAACAGAAACAATACCCCGGTATTTTTTGATATAACTTGAAAGGGTCGCTGCAGAGGACTTAAAGAGACATAAAAACCATCCGTCCCATTACCTGGGTTGAGGAAACACGCCCTGTCCGCGTGCTCCGTGTCCTTCGTGCATGCTATGGCCATAACATAGTCATTCATCCACACACTCCGATCACCCAAACCCAAAACGTCACATTTACGCGAAAGTAGAGGGACGAGAGTAAGCGAACACCTTCTTGCTGTTGGCAGCACGGTGGGGCAGGGGGAACTTGAGGTTCTTGGAGAGGAGCTGCTTGATGTAGGGGCGGCGGATGCTGTCGGCGTTCTCGATCTCAACAACCTTAAGGATCTGTAGGAACGTAGTTAGATCGCAGTATTCCTCGGCAGAAAGAGGATAGGAATCTCAACGTACGTGGATGGAGCCGAAGCGGGCACGGTGACGGGCAGCCATATCCTGGTAGAGAGCCTCAACAGCCTCGGTGCGGCTCATCTCACGGAACTCCTTGTACATGTTGTGGGTGCCGGAGCGGGAGTCGTAGCGGAGCCAGATACCGAAGTTCTTGACCTTGGTAGGGCGCTTCTCGCTGATCTATTGGAGAAAAAAGACAGGCGTCAGCCAACACTGCCAACTTGTCGCTTTATAACGGCCACACATACCACATTGATGCTGACGATCTCACCGTTGGCCTTCTTGACCTTGCGGAGCTGGGTCAGGAAGTACCAGAACCGGGACTTAGCGACAACAGTGTTGGGCGCAAAGATGCGCATGCGGTACAGCTTGGGCGTGGGGTTAGCCTCGGTGGGCAGGTGACGCCCAATGACCTGGTACTCGGTGAGACGCCCTATGGATCCCAGTCAGCCATGTTATCCTATCCGATGAGAACTGCCTCGTGCAATGGTTTCAGTCGTTGCGTATATTCCGTGCGAAACGTTGTTGACGGTTGTGCGAGCTGCCGATACTTCTGCGATTATTTCATGTGTGCGCCACGATATCGAAATTTTCGTCCTCCCATATCCGTCGCCCAAAGTTGAATAATCCACCCATCAATCTTGCTTCCAATCGAGTCCAATCCAATTTCAATCAAGACTTGTATGATCCGATGTTGCCGAGATAATATGATGCCGTAAAAAGTCGTTCAACGATCGCAGGGGGAACATCGCAAAAGCCGATCCACCATTGGGAAACAATATTGGAATTCTGGAAAATTTAACTCACCCATCTGGTAAATTCAGTCAGTAACAATTTCAATATGTCGATGAGCAGATCAAAAAGGTAGGGCTTACTTTGATTGTTGACGCTGTAGTGGTTAGTCGACGAGAGGTGTGCCGGCTGCTGGACTCGTCGCGGAAAGGAGGATTTTTGGAACAGTTGATTGTGAGCTAGGTTTAGCCCTGCTTAGGGCTAAGCGACCGTGTGGCTTGGTAACCCACCTTGCCTGTTTTGGAACACTAGCCACAGCCAAGGTGGCAGCAGTGATTAGATAACACGGATTCCCTGAGCGGCGCCGCAGTTTCCCCACCTTCGCCCGATCGCGTCCGCGGCTGGCTTCATGGACCTGGAACTCCTGTCAGTGACGCCGATTGTTGGTCTCCGTGGCTCGGACGTACGATCGCCGTGAATGCATGTCCGCTGTTGAACCTTTCCCCTCCTTCCCCGCGATCTAGACCTACACTCTTGCAGTCATCAACCATGTCCAACATCTTCGATGATTTCAAGGAAGGCCAGAAGATCGGCTCTGGCGCCCGCCTGGCGGCATCTCTCTCCCCCGTCGCGACTGCGGAGTACCCCGACCGTCTGAAGTCGTTCTACTACTTTTCTAACGCCGTACATGTTTCCGCCGACCTCCGCTACTCGCTCTTCCAAGCAAATGGCCTGAGGCTTCCCAAGCAAGAACAGAACTCGTGGGTCGATATCTTTACCGCTTATTGGAAAGCCGTGGGGGAGATAGTTCTATTCGACGACTCCCCCAGACATGCTAGTTGGGTAAAAGTGTTCGATGCGTGGAAGGATACGGCAAATCAATTGATTAGGGGCTACTCGACAGGCAGTCTGCAAGCTTGGACGGTGCCATGCTTGTACTCTGTCGGAAGATATTTGCGGGCCTTCGCCATGAAGGCCGATGCTGAGCTTTCTGCCCAAGACTCCGTCACTTTCGACGGTCGCTTTCAAGATGATGCGACGGATGCCAAGAATCCAAAGCTGGAGGAAGCTACACGGGTGCTCAACAGGATGTTTACTTTGTGTCTAAGTGACCGGTAAGCTATTTTCGGAAGTGTTGTGGACATACCATGCTAAGGTTGTTTAGGGCACCGATCGAGGAATCGCGAAAATGGGGCATCTACGACACTACAAACCTGCTGTTCAAGACATACTTCAAACTCAACACTGTTGGCCTCTCCAAGAACTTGCTGCGTGCCCTCAATGCCTCATCTGCCGATCTTCCCGGCTTAGACGCCTTTCCCAAGTCTCATATTGTCACCTTTGAGTACTACGTCGGTGTTATACACTTTCTGGATGAAAATTATGCCGAAGTATGTGCTTCTGTCACCTGTTTTGGGTTCTGTTGCTAATAGCTGGGTTTAATAGGCTGAAGAGCATCTGTCGTACGCATGGAGGATGTGCAACAAAGCTGCGACGAAGAATAGAGAGTCAGTAGTATACATGTCGTCTTCGTGCTATATTGCTGACTACTTCCAGGTTGATTCTCACCTACCTCGTTCCCTGCCATCTTGTCACCACACACACTTTGCCCAGCAAAAAGCTTCTTGCACCGTTCCCTCGTGTAGAGAAGCTCTTCCGTCCATTGTGCGACTGTATCAAAAAGGGAGACCTGGGCGGGTTTGATGCCGCGATGACAGCCGGGGAGGAAGAATTCGTCAAGAGGCGCATATACTTACCCCTGGAAAGGGGACGCGATATCGCTTTACGGAACCTCTTCCGCAAGGTCTTCATCGCCGGTGGATTTGACGAACCCAAGGAAGGACAGCCTCCCATTCGTCGCACGCGGGTTCCCGTTGCTGAGTTCGCAGCGGCGTTAAGGATCGGTACCCATGCCGATGATCGGTCCCGCGTAGACATTGATGAGGTTGAGTGTCTGCTGTCAAACCTTATCTATAAGGTGCGCAATAAGATGCCCGTAAACCATCGAAACACTAAGCTGACCAGAGTCGTAGGGATTGATGAAAGGCTACATTGCCCGTGAACGCGGCATGGTTGTATTGAGCAAAGGTGGCACTGCATTCCCTGGAACGGGGGTTTAGCACTACTATCAACCGTCATCGCATCTTCGGTGACGCCCTATCACACTTATCGAACAGTATCGGGTCACCAGTATACTATCGCCCGAAGGGCATTACCCGAGAGCCTTCAAGATCACGGCTATGGCAGGGACGTCTGCAGCGCTGGCCAGCCTGTATTACATGCGCTCCAACAGCCCTTCGAGCAGCTCCCGTGCAGCATGCATATCATAGATGACCGCTTACAGGACCCATACCTCCAACGGCGCTGGTACATGAACGGACGGTAGGCCCGCAGTTGTGCAAGTCGTACAGTAAGTGCTGGTGACATGCCTCTACTGCCTGGTTCAAGCTGAAAACGCTGTAATCTATACCATGATAGACCGATTATAAATACCACATGACCTCATGACAGATACAATCTCGCATTCTGTATAAATCCCCATAACAGACACATTACTATACAAACATCGCATCAAGCAATACATAGCATACACTACTAATCCATCCCAACACAACAATGCCATCCCCTCCCAATACATTATACCAAATAGAACAATCCGCCCAAACCAGCCGGGCTGCATATATCACTAACACGTCCCTTCACCCCTCGCCGCCTCCTCAAGATCATCCTATAGTAAACCACCCACATTAGCCCTCCGCACACACACCCTTTCACTTTGCAAAAGAGAAACCGGAACTCACCATATGATTACACATCGCCACAAACAAATCAAAAAACAACTTCCCCCCACGTTCCATCTCCATCTGCATCGTCCCACTCCGCTTAAACGTTCCCCGACTGCGTATGATCAGCGCCAGATAATGCGCCCGCAGCTTACTCTCCGTATCCGGCGTGTGCATGTACGCGTACCGCGCACTGCTCAGGATAATATGGCAGGGGATGTTGGAGTGGAGGCCTTGCTTTTTCAACGAGAGGCGTTTGAGATGCTCGAGGGAGTATTTCTCGGCTGCGCAGCTATATAGTACAGTTTCTTGTGTTAGTATGGGATGGGGGTTATTGATTGATAATTTGTCTGGGGAGGAAGGGGTTGGTTGACGTACTATACTGCGGTGTCGCGGAGGATTTCTGCTCCTACGGCTGGGTGGAAGATGATGGCGCTGGGGTCGGTGGTGTCTTTGGTATTAGTGGTAGTATTATTTCTGGTATTAGGAGTAGAGGATGAGGAGGAGGAGGTTGTTGTTTCCAAGTCCCATGTGTTGGTGGATTTGTCGTGGCGGAGACGGGGGTAGTAGTCGCCGCGGTAGAGGTATTCGAGGACGCAGGAGAAGATTTCGGGTTGTTCGTCGGGGAGGTCGATTGTTTTCATGGATTTGGTAGGGCTTGGTGAGGAGGAAGGGGAAGAAGAGGGGGAGGAAGAAGAGGAGGTGTCATTGTTGGGAGGATTGCAGAGGGCTGCGAAGTAGGGCGAGACGCAGAGGATGTCCTTGTGTGCGGCGAAGAGGCGTTTGGTTGGGCCGATGGTGAGAGTTATTACGCCGTGGGAGAGGGAGGAGTTGCTGTTTGGTAAAATTGGGGTCTTAGGGTTAGTGGGTGCTTTGGATTTTTACTGAGATGGGATAGGGAGAGAAGGGTTGTAAGAACCTTCCGTCTGGGGGTGTTTCGGGAGTGTGTCTGCTGCGATGGAGACGTCGTGATGCGACGACTGATTGTTCGCGAGATCGCGGTTTGGCCTTGCCGGCTCGGTATCTGGAGGAGAAGCTCTCTGGGTGGTGGGAATGTAGGCGTTTTGTGGAGAGGATTCTGGGGCTAGGGCGATGGAGGCCCTGCTGCTGCTGTGGTTGTTGCTGTTGGGATAGCATTGTGAGGGAAGGGATTTGGGGGGAGATGGGATGGAATAGTAGCTGGGGAGAAAGAAAATGACCCTGGAGATGGGAATCAGGGGTTCCTTGCGATTATAAAACTAGTGGTAGTACTGTAGGATACTCGGTGGTAGAGAAAGAGATGGTAAGAACTGGACAGATACATGTATGTTTGACCTCTCCTATTTGAAGTGCCTTCTTTGTCTCTGGAAAGGGGTTGCTGAACCACAAGCACAGGCCATCCTTTACTCCTCGCAGAGGAAGGGGAACGAGGGAAAAGTCTCCAGCCTTTTGATCTCCAGATCCTGGTCGAATTCGACGCATTATAGATCAACTCGACCAGGATGCATGTCCCTCTTTACGCAGGAGGGGACATGGAGAGGGGAAGAGCAGAGAACGCGTAACGGCAGGTACTGCTAGTAATGGACGCGTAAAGTGGTTTTTTGTGCATCGCCAAATGATCGCGCAGTCACGGGAGAGCCATTGGCCAATGATGGCTTCAAGGGGGGAGATTGGGAGGTGGAGACTTGGAGACGCCAGAGCGAATCAGCCCGGCATTCTTCGTTCCGTCCACACCCGCGATCGGCGCAGAGACTCGATGCATCCAAGTTTGTGGATGGCTATGGTTTGTATGGCCAGCGGGGACAGGGTTCTTCCTGGTCATTACTACTCGTTGACTAAACGCAAAAGCATGGCTCGTCGTGTCCAGTTGGTGCGGATGGGCGGAATCCACCATCCGTGACTCCTGGGTCCATCTAGGAATCATTTGTCTGTCATACCGTCGTACCGGTTGCATCAACAGCCGCTCCTTGAGAATACACACGACACCGTAAGACAGTTAAATTTCGCATGCAGGGACCCGCTTGCATCTCCTGAAGACAGCCTTTCACTGTGAGATGGTTAGTCTTGTCCTTTCTAGGCTGGAAGGCGTTTAACCTTCGAAGTTGATAGCTCAGATTCCTACCCCGCCGACACACTGGGCGATAAAACGCTGATAATATTATATCCTTTCAAACATAGTAACGAAACGTTGCGTTATGTACAACCATGTACAACCCAGGTCCTGAGCCTGCCCAACCCATGTACGCCCATACCATAACGCCTGCTTGCAAATTGTGTAACCGACGCCCATTGCGGTGTGGAGATGTGCCTGCACTTATGTCCGCTATATCTGCTGAACTGACCCTGTCGGTCCAACTAGAGGAATACCTTTCTCGCCTCCCGAGGGTGACTCTCACTCGGGCAGTAAGGGCACTTGAACCGGCTACCCTTGCACAACCGTTTGAGTGACTCCTCCGCGATAACATGCCCACAGGGCATCATCATGGGGGGATTTTCATCCGTAGTTTGCTCCTTTGATACGGGACATACAAAGATAGAATGGAAGAGATACGACGGGGGTAGCGGGATCTCGACCTATATGGCGCACCAGTCAGCTCACGAACCGTCAGGCATGTCCGCATCGACTTGACTTACCGGGAGCTCGTTCTCCGTGGTCCACTCGGTTCGTTTGGCTTTCATGATAGTCTGTAACTTCAACAGCGTCGGCAGCGCAATGGCACCGGCAGTAGCAGCAACATATAGGGGCGAATCTGCCGACAATCCGAGTAGCGAGCAAAACTCTCGCGTGAATGAGTGTGCCACATCGGACCATGCCGACGGGTTGTTGAAGATATGGTTGTACGGGGAGTCTCGCAGATTGGGGCAAAAGGCCATTGCACCCATGAGCTGCTGGACCTCGCGCAGATACCTGGGCAAGAATGTGTGGAATTCACGCCTGCCATATTCCAAAGCTGCCTGCCGCCCACCCGGACTGGGTCCTTGCTGATGTTGTCCGCCGTAGAAAAGCCAGACGAATTGCAGCCTGCACAATTCAAACTCAAGGTTACTACCCCTCGCCTCCAAAGCCTCCTTGTTCTCTCTGGACCACTGTATTGCCGGCAGCAGGTTATTATTTTCCTTCAGCTCATGAAGAATGTGGTACATAGTGTGGAACTGTTGCCGCACTTCGCCCGGCGGAACTTCGTCGAGATCTAAGAGCGAGGCCGCATTGTCTATAGCCCCTATATCTCCTTCCTGCTGTTTCTTCATCGCTTTCTTTTGTGCCATTTCGTTCAGGAACTCTGATGCAACGGAAAACTGTCCTTCTCGGAGAAGGTGCATGGCGATAGCTCTGTTGATAAGGTGTTCTTGGGAGGAAAGGACATCGTGTTCGGTGCTCGGCAAAGGCCGGTCTTTGAATAACTGCGACAGTGAAAGTAGTCAACATATGCCATTCACCATGGGAACCCGACGCGTGCTACCTTATCTAACGATTTGGAGTATTTGTTCAGACCACTGTGTGTTTCTTTAAGACTATCGTTGATAGAATCAAAAGATGATTTGACGGGATTCTGGAGCTTAGCCAGTGTAATGGATGCTTGACTGGGATCTGGGATTGTCCGCGTGATCAGTATAGTTCCAGGATCAAGGCCCGCGCAACGTCCGACGAGGCACACGCACCTGCAGCAATTGCATCTCGTGCCGACTGAAGCAAATCTATGGTAGACTGCACGTTCTTGATACCTTGACCGGCCTTGATCTTCTTGGAAAGCCGGTCGTGCTCTTTCTGCACCAGCTCCATGACGGGGCAGACGGGAAAGCGGTGTCCGACAGTTACCGCACCTTCACTAGGCAATCGTTGCAGCCATATGTAGGTGATTCTGATGGTTGTGCTGCTCACCGCAAGATCTGAAATAAGAATGTGAAGCTCAACAACGAAATTGTGAGGGAAATACTCGAATAGAATAGAGTCGCCTTCTTCTCCAGGTCATCGGAGCATATGGGCAGGTGAGGAGGAGAACGGAGCGGCAACCAGCCCAATTACGACATGAACCATCACGTGCAACTATCCGGGTGCCCCGCCCGCAGCCCGTTTGCAGTCAACTTTGCCCAATGACATGATCTAGATCACTTCAATGCAATCTATAACTGATTGCTGTCTACTGAACAAAGGTCATTCGTGAATCCTACTAGTATCCCTCTCAGACGCCAAGCATCAAACTGTCACTGAATCTCAAGAATGATTTGAAAATCAGACTCGCAATGAGTGCGGCCTCGGATTGCCAGTCACACTCTGGGATTGCTTTTCCCCTCACTAATGCAGTGAGATGCCGCCTTACGTTGCCAGCTCACAAGTAGCTAACCAACTAACGAGTTAACAAGAGAACCCGAGTCACTGAGCAAGTAGAGATCCGTGCCCTACCCGAACAGCCTGTATAAATGCCTCTGCTCCTTTTGTCAGAGACCATGCTGGAATCATACTGGACGCTTCCCACCCACTCAAGGCTTTCAGGCCCTCTTTGTCCTGCGACATCGGGTATTCGAAGCACACGCTCGCTAACCACGCTGTTCCGCTTCGTTTCTGGAGCCTTATCAGGTACCTGTCGTCTGCATTACCAAGGGCCATCGAGATAGGCACATCTCCGTACCTTCGGATCAAAAGCCAATATCAACTGCGAATATAGTGAGAGGCATTTAGAAGGGACCACAACAAACGTGTCTCTCCATACGCCTTATCTGTCAACATGGTGTCTCTCCTCTGAGGCCCTTGGTTTTGAACA